GAGGAGGAGGAGGAGGAGGTGCGGTTCGGCGGCCCACGGATGCGCGCGGCAGGTGAGCAGCGGCCGAGGGAAGGCGTGGTTGAAGGGACGGAGCATCCCAAAGGGACGAGAGGGGAGGAAGCGGAGGCGGGGGAGGAGGATCACGACGAGATGCGTTGCGCGGTCGGAGGTGTGTGCGCTGACTGACTTGAAGCCTGCATCCCCCACCTCCGTGCTTGATGGAGGTGGCGCCTCCTCCCATTACTGGCGGGGCGGCCTACGTGGCGCCGCGGGTTGCCACCCTCGGCGTGCCGATCGGGCAGTTGCGCCTTTTACCAGGCCTGCGGTGGCAGGGCCAAATTCTTGTCCGCGCTATCCCTGCGAGGGGCCTTCCTCTGGAGCTGGGGCACGACGACCGATGGGCGAACCACGCGGGGCACGCACAGTTAGCAGCGGCGTGCCACGTAGACGACGGAAGTTCTGCTTTGGCAGAGAGCAGCATAGCACAGGACACGCAGAACACGGTGCCGAATGGACGCGTACAGGCGGCATTCTGGGCCTTATGCAGGTCGAAGTAGCGTGCGAGGACGCATAAGACATGAGAGGATGCAGATGTGGCGAGGCTAATTTTGCAGATCTGATGGTCAAAATCAGTGACCTGAGACGTAACACATGATTGCCCATCTCATGTGCATTCTTACTCTTAAGTCGGGCTTGCCACTCTACAGGAGGAATGTTCAAGACTAGTCAACAAATAGTCGGGGGACTTCTTTTGGAACATTTGAGGGTATGGTTTCATGTTTCCCGTCCAAAATCCGCCTGTAGGGGGGCATGCCCGACCTAATCTTACTCACTCGGCCTGCCTTGGTTGCCTGGCTGGCAGGCAACTCGCTCCTGGGTGGGTTGACCGTTCAGCCTCTTGGGTCGCTGACCACCAGGGTTTCATGTGGTCCACTTCGTTTTAACAGGGCGGGCCGAGCGATTCGTGTGGGAACCTGGCGTTAGGCATTGCTAAGCGAACGCCAATCCGTCTTCCTTCAACGCTATGCAATGGGCAACCTAAGTATGCTCGGGGAACAGAATTTCCAATCGCGGGATAACGTTCTTTCAATAACAGTAATTTCCCGGATGGAAATTAGAAGAGCACGATGAGTTTCGAGCTGCTTCAACGTGTCGGGTGTCACAGGCGTCAGCCGATCTAGAAGGGCCTTCTTGTGTCACTCAGTCGGCGGCCTACGGGCGTGTTGTATCTCGCAGAAGCCACGCTGCCACGGTTGCGCAGCAACCGTCGGCGGCATTGGCGCTCGAAAACTTGTGGTGGAACAATCGGATGGGCAGTGACGGTCAGAGCCAATTGCTAAGCACAGCCATTCCGTTTCGAGTCACCTCGCTCGGCGTGGTAAGTAGAAGGAGCACAGGAGGGTAGCCATCAATGGCGTATGATAGTGAGCAACTTCTGAAAACCAATGCTAAAACACGACCATATTGAAATCAGGCCGTCGGAGTAGGATGTGGATGATGGTGGTGTCGACGACGCCAGTGATTATCATGGTGTGACGTGATGACGACGGTGATGACTACGGCGATAACGATATTGGCGATGGTGTTGTTGACGAGGCCGGTGAGGTAAGTGATGAGGACCTATTGTGACGGTTCAGAGTATGACGATGAGGAGGATAATGAGGAGGGGGAAGAGGAGACGGAGAAACATCACACTCCCACGGAAGAGTAGGACCACGATATGCCGCTGGGCCACGCGTGGGGGTGCAGCGTGAACGCCCTGCCAGCGGCCTGGCGCGTGCGCTTATCTCCCTGAAGCTGGCTGGCATCAGGGAAGTTTCTGGAAGCGTGTGTGTGCCTCTATTGTCTCTCCCCCCCCCCCGCGGCCGCCCGCCCTGCCTCCTCCCCCGTTTAGCTTCCGCGCTGGTGCAGCCGACTCTGCCTTGCCGCCGACGAAACAAAAGTGCGCCGCTCTAAGCCCTGAGGCCCTGGGGTAACCCCAATGTCCAGAACCCCTTTCCTCTGGACGCCCTGTCCCTCTGGCCAAGTGGCGGCATGGGCGCGCCACTCTGCACAGTTGTCTTGGAGGATGCAGCGCGATTTGTCAAACTGTCGTGTGCCGTCTGCGCGACGCTGCCGTTAGACTGGCATGTGGCGACGGTGGGGTGGGAGGGGACACGGGTCTGCTGCTGTCCTTCGTCTCCGTCGCGCCTCATCCTCATCGTCATCGGCTCTCCCCCCTTCTTGCACCTTCTCTTGCTGCTGTTGCTGCTGCTCCTCCTCCCTTCTCGTTGTCCGCCTCCTGGCCCTACTTCCTCCTTCCTCCTCCCTTTCCCTGCCACGTGCATGCACTTCTTCCCGTTTTCCGTCCTCTTCCTTCTTCCCTCCCTCCTTCCGTCCGATCCCCCCTGGCCCGCCAGGCAGAAAGTTCGCCGTTCCAGTGCGCAAAGAGCACCAAGCCGTGGGACTGCGGGGGGCAGGCTTTCTCCCGAGGAGGCGGAAGCGGGGAGGATTCTGTAATGATCGAACTCCCATTTCTAAAGGGCGAGTAATGGTTCACCTTTTTTAGTTGAAGTGCCCCTCCCAGGGCTCGCACCCGATTTTTACAAGGGAGAGTCTTGCGCCTTGGACTGTGTTGTTGGCTACAAGTTTACAACAATCTTGGCTCCCACCTGATACGTTACCCACTTTATTCCAAATCGCGCTCTCGCGCGGGACTTCTTTACACCTTATCCTGTCATCGTGCTCTCGCGTGACATTTCCTCCCACTTTATTGAGACGCCGCACTCAGGAATCGCACTCTCGCTCTGGACTTCCTCATGATCTACTTGGAAATCGCACTGTCGCTCGAGACTTTCTCGCGATCCATTCAGGACTGATGCTACAGCGACCCGCAGGCACACCGCTTGAGACATCCCCACAACACGGCCGCGAACGGGACCGTGCAATACCCCTCGGCGGCTCCCCTTAGGGGCGTGAAAATGAGCGCCTCGCTCGAGACATCCTCCACATCTGCTCCGACAGCGAAGGATGTTGGGACAGAAAACAGGCACCCCGCTTGAGACATCCCCACAACACGGCCGCGATCGGGACCGTGCAATACCCCTCGGCGGCTCCCCTTAGTGGGGTGAAAACGAGCGCCTCGCTCGAGACATCCTCCACATCCGCTCGGAAAGCGAAGAACGCTTGGACAGAACACAGGCAACCCGCTTAAGACATCCCCCACAGAACTGCCGCGAACGGGACCGTGCAATACCCCTCAGCGGCTCCCCTTAGGGGTGCTGAAACCAGCGCCCCGCCTGAGACATTCTCACAATATGCTGTGTGTTGAGCAAGTAAGACAATGAGAAGGTCTGGATATGAGTAAGACTGGGGATGAGTGAGTCTCAGCATGAGTACGTCTGAGTCTGAGTAGGTCTGAGTATGAGTAGGTCTGAGTATGAGTAAGTTAATATGATCAGGTCTGAGTATGAGTAAGTCTGTGTATGAGTAAGTCTAGGTATGAGGAGGAGGATGAGGAAGGAGGAGGGGGAGGAGTAGGAGGCGTCCAAGTAATAGCAATAACCCCATCTTAGGACATGGGGGAAGCAGTGATGATGAGGGTGATACTGATGATGATGGTGATGATGATGATGATGATGATGATGATGGTCATACTGGTGATGCTGATGATACGGATGGGAAGATGCTGATGATGATGGTGGTGGTGATGCTGCTGATGATGATGAATCATATTATGATGAAGATGATGGGGGATGATGAGGATGATGATGCTGATGATGAGGATGATGAGGATGGTGATGCTGATGCTGATGACGATGATGCTGACTTTGATGCTGCTGCTGGTGATGATGACGATGCTGCTCCTGATGACGATGCTGAGGATGATGCTGCTGATGATGATTATGATGATGATGGTGATGGAGATAATGATGCTGATGATGATGCTGATCATGATGCTGATGATCATGATGATGTTGATGATGAGGATGATGATGCTGATGATGACGATGCTGCTCAGGATGATGATGATGATGCTGATGATGATGATGCTGATGATGATGCTGATCATGATTATGATGATGATGATGATGACGATGATGGTGATGATGATGATGATGCTGATGAGGATGATGATGATGCTCAGGATGAGGATGATGATTCTGATGATGATGCTGATGATGCTGATGATGATGATGAGAACGATGATGATGATGATGATGCTGATGATGATGATGATGATGCTGATGATGAGGATAATGAGGATGATGAGGATGAGGATGAGGATGCGGATGAGGATGATGATGATGATGATGATGATGATGTTGATGATGAGGATGATGAGGATGATGATGATGATGATGATGATGATGATGCTCAGGATGCTGCTGCTGCTGATGATGATGATGATGATGATGCTGATGATGATGATGATGATGATGATGATGATGATGATGATGATGATGATGCTGATGATGATGATGATGATGATGCTGATGATGATGATGATGATGATGATGATGATGATGATGATGATGATGATGATGATGATGATCATGATTATGATCATGATCATGATCATGATCATGATGTTCCCTCTCCAGTGGTGGGGGCTTCAGCAGCTCTTCGCCCACATGGCCGAGCGGCCCGCAGCTGCAACAGGGGCGGCTGCCGCACGACCGACCACGGAAGCCGCACGACCGAACCCCAGCGCAGCGGGCGACGAGGAACTTCCCGAGACGCCCCAACGAGCCAGCCTCCCACCTCCCAGTCGTCGTCGTCGTCCTGTTCATCCTCAACATCCTCCAAGCCTTCTCCTCCTCCTCCTCCTCCTTCTCCTCCTCCTCCTCCTCCTCCTCCTCCTCCTCCTCCCCCTCCCCCCTCCTTCCCCCTTCCCGCCGTGCGCTCGTCGCTGGGCGGGCGCACCCTCGAAGGCGTAGGGAGGATCGGGACTTCGGAACTCCCAGGACACGTGGCTCTGCGCCTGAGGTCGGCAGGGGTCCCGCCCACCGCTCCGCACAGGCCCTCGGGCCAGGCGGTCAAGCACCCCGACCGCCCGCGGAACCCACGCTGTCGTCCACACGGGACCGCCGACGACGACGACGACGACAGGCTCCTGCAGAGGCCCTCGGGCTCACGCGAGCGGCTGCCGCCCCTCCGTCCGAGCGGGCCAACGTCCGAGCGGGAACGCGCCCTCGTCGGCCGGCTCCAGCAGGCAGGAACATGTTTTTCTGCACTCCTTGCAGAAGGTCGCCGCTATTCATTCATTGTTTAGCCGATGGGCCCCCCGGGCCCCCCCCTCCCCCCCTCATCCCCCCTCTCCCCCCCTTCATAGAGCAGACTTTGGTTGCTTTTGGAGGCTGCTGTTGGCGACTGGCCAGGACCCCTTGCCCCCAGTCTGCTTGCGCGACTGGCAAAAGCAGATCGACTAATCACTGGCCCACACTCAGACCCCCCTCTCTCCCCCACCCTGCGGCCAAATGTCGAAACCCAGAATTTAAAAGAAAGCCTACAAGCCCATCCTGCGGAGGTCCTCCACAGCCCCAGGGCTATCCACGCCGTGCTCGCGCAGGAGCCGAAGAAATCAAGGAGAAAATGCCATTGACGACGATGATGTCAGCCTGGTAGTGGTTGCAGTGACGATGATGCGGGCGATGCTGATGCTGATGCTGATGATGCTCCAGCTGATGATGACGATGGATGACGATGATGACGATGGTTTGGGTGGCGGTGATGGTGGTGGTTTTAACGACAATGATGCGAATGATGAAGGGCAGGGGAAACACCACTTTCATGTGGATTAGTAGTTACGGCGGGGGAGGGTAGGGGTGGCAGGAAAGACAGATGATTCTAAGACCATTTGTTAGCCCAATGTGTGGTTACACTGTTCAGCTCCTCCGCACGCATGCTGTGTCCCCCATTTTTGCATCGCATGCGTTGTATCGAAGAGCTCTGGTGGGCAATCACACGTTAATCCTAACACAAAGTCTGAGGATCATCGAACGGAGGAGGGATGGGGGATGGACGGGGAGGAGGAGGAAGAGGAGGAGGAGGAGGAGGAGGAGGAGGAGGAGGAAAGGAGACGTAGGCGGAGGAGGAGGAGGAGGAGGAGGAGGAGGAGGAGGAGAAGGAGGAGGAGGAGGAGGAGTTGGAGGAGCAGTATGTGGAGGCGGAGGCGAAGGACGAGGGGACCCTTTTATCCGACGCCGCAAAGCCGACGCGACCCCACGGAAAATCACGTCCCGAGCCTCGGGCCCTCTCTCTCCGCGGCCCTTTCCCAGCCGGCCCCGAGGCCGGGCGACATCGCCCAGTGCGAAACAAACAAAAAAGTGCGACGCCAGGGAGCTACCTAGGAGGAGGAGGAGGAGGAGGAGGAGGAGGAGGAGGAGGAGGAGGAGGAGGAGGAGGATTGTCTCGGATATATCCTTATTCAGCGGGTCGCGCACTCGCACCTCAGCCCCTAGGGGGGCGGGGTCTGGCCGATGCGGGTGTCCGCCGCGCAGACTAAAGCTGGGGGATGACGGATAGCCACGATACTGAGGTGCTTAGTGAGGAACACCCGTCAATGTTCCACCTCTTTATCGATTTCGCTGGCCGCCACCCCCTCCTCACCCCATGCCCCAAAGTGATCCTGTCGAATCGGGGCTCCTACGGGGTGGCATCCCATATTGGGGGAGCGAACTTGCCGCAGCAGTGGTCCGCAATTTGACTCCTGGCGTGCACTGCCCAGCGGTTCCCCTCCGGGGAGGAAGCGGATCCCAAGGTGGGCCCGATTGCTTCCCCACTGCTGAATTCAGGGGCTCTTGCACTTAGTGCAGGGACCCTGGCAGGTCGGGCAGACGCTGGGAGCTTCAGCCCCAGCGTAGGTGTGGCTAAGCGGCAGGGGCCCCAGCCCATGCAGGCAGCCTGCGATGCTTACGTGCTGAGTGCCACTTCGGGGGGGACCCCCCTGTGAAGATGGTTGCCTCTCTGCACATACTAGCACCTGTGCCGCGCGATAGCGGCACAAACTGGGCGTCGCCCCATCGGGGTGACTTCCCCCTGCGAGGTTGGATGCCGTGAGCGTTCCAGTCGCATGTTGATGCCAGTGGCCCGCGTAACGGTCTGGACGGCCGTAGTTTTTAGCAAGGCCGCGAAAGCGACATGAAACTGGCTTTCTGGGTTGCCCTCCCCGCTTGGCGATGGCCCCAGGATGCCACAACAAAGTGTGGCTCTTTTTCCTCTGCTCGGTCAGGGCAGCAGGACGAGTGGCAGCAGAAACATGGTAGAGTTAGCGTCTTGCGAGCATTGTTTAGGACATCCAAGGCAGAGGGCTTCCGACATAGAGGCTTCGCTCACAGAGGGAAGGAGGTGCGGAGGAGGATGAGGCAGGACAAAGTGCATTTTTCCTCGCAGCGGCTCAATACTGGGGTGCTCACCTCACTGGGGTGCCCGTGGAACTCGCCAAGAATTGATTAATAAATCCTCTGGCCTGCGAGCCAGGGCCCTACACTTGTACATCGTAATCCCACTAGTTTGGTTTCTACCTGTATGGCTGGTTTGCTGATCCGGTCGAATCAGCGGGCCAGGGGCTACCGCGAACTTGCTATGCAGTGGTCCGTAGTCCCTGGCCCTAACAGCCTTGCTGCTCGGGTAACTCTTGCGGGGCCGAAGCCCCAACTTTAGGAGACGCGCAGCAGGCAGACGACCCCCCATGCCCGTCCGACGGGCAGGCGCCGCGGGCTCCCGAGGAGGCCGTCGAGCTGGTAGGAGAAGCCGATGGTGGCGAGGACCCCTGGCCAGACGAGGAGGAGGACGTCTTCGGGCTAGGAGGCAGCTTCAGCGAGCCTGAGACCGAGCCTGAGGCAGCGGACGGCGGCAGCGGCAGCCACCAGGCAGCGAGGGGCCAGTCGGCGATCGCCTCGCATGCTTCCAGGGCTGCCCGGAGGGCCGCCGCCCCCCCCCTGCCGGCGCCAGGCCGTAGCCTTGACCTTTTCCAGGATGGGTCAGGCTTGTCCGGGGTCGCCGCCGCGACCGCCGCTGGCGCATCGGCGCCGCAGCCGGGGCCGCCGCCGGGGCCGCTGGAGCAGCCGGGGAGGCCCTTGGGGGGCTTCCAGGGGCCGCCGCCGGGGGGCCAGGGGGCTCGTCGCGGACCGTGTTCTCCCCTGGGGAAAAACACGGTGTCTGGGGCCGCTCCCGGCCCCCGCCGGGAGCCCGCCCGGGCGCCGCCAGGGCCGCCGGGCGGCTCGTCGCGGGCGCTGGCGGGGCCGCGGCAGGCGGGGGCGCGGCCGTGGCAGTCGAGGGGCCCCTCGGAGGCGGCGGCGACGCCCGAGCAAGCCTGGAGGCGGAGTTCGAGGGCGTGGTCGTCTGCGACGGCTCGAAGTTGGGCAGGTCGCTGCGGGCCCAGACGGGCTGGGCGGCCATGGCGGTCGACGCCGAGGGCAGAGCCACTGCGCATGCCTGGGGCCCCCTGCCGGTCGCCCTGCCGACCCAGCGCGCCATCAAGCGCGCAGAGCTCTGGGACTTCCTGCAGGTGCTGCGGCACATCAGGACGGAGGCATTGGGCGCGAGCTTGCCGTGCGTGATCTATACAGACCACCTGGCCATCGTGCTGGGGCTGCGCCGTGGCCAGGCGTGGTGCTGCAACGGCAAACGCGCGCGCCGACGTCTGGGGGCAGATCTGGTTCTGCGACGAGGATCGCGAGGTGCCCGTGAATGCGGTGAGGCTTTGCAAGGCGCGCTGCAGCCCAGCGGTGATGGCGACCCTGGAGGGCCCCGAGAAGAGGGCGGCCCTCGGGAACCAAGAGGTGGACCGCTTGGCAAAGCAGGCCGCGGAGCTCGACGCGGGCTGCGGCAGGGGCCAGGCGATCAAGGAAGCTAGCCAGAAGGTGGGGTGGGCGCTCCACCACATCGGCTGGTGGCACGAGCGGATTGGCGACTGGGGCGACATGCGGCCGATGCCGTCGGACAGGCCGCCGCCCAGGAAGGCGTGCACCAACGGTCGCCCCCTCGACCTGGCCCAGCACGACCTCGAGGTTTTCGGCAAGGGCATTCGCTGCAGGGCCTGCATGAGGAAGGCCGCCTCCGCCTCGGCGCGCTGGAACTTGTTGGCCAGCCCGTGCGCGCCCATGCCGTGGAGGAGAAAGGGCGCGCCTGAGGCGGACCCCAGGCAGATCACGATCCTCGGGCGCCAGGCGGCTTGGGCGGGGCCGAGTGGCCAGCCTGACGGCGAGCAGAGGGCCGGCAGTGGCCACGAGCGGGTGACAGGAAGGGCCGCCATTGCGGCGTTTGGGGGACCCTCGTGTGGCCTTGAGCCAGCTGCGACGGCGCGGAGCGACAGCAATAATATCGCGGCCCCAGGGAGGCGCCGCAGGTCGAGGCGCTGGCCCCAGAGGGCGAGGCCGACATTGGCGACGGGGGGTCCCACTCCAGCGTGGCCGAGGAGCCGCCTGCGCGGCCAGTGGAGGCAGAGGCCGCCGCCGAAGCAGGCGGGCCCGCGCCTGCAGCCAGGCCGAGGGCGCCGCCGAACCCTGCGGCCCGAGCGGGGGCCCTCGGCGCGCGCGAAAAGCTCCACGTGGTCCGCGAGGTGCGCGGCTACGTGGTCTGCACAGCGTGCAGGGCCCACGCCAGGCGGCGGATGGAGGGCCTGGCCAGAGGGTGCCCAGGCTGGCCCGCCAACCCCAGCAGGGCCGACAGGGTGCGACGCCGGAGAGCGGACCGCATCCTTCGAGGCCTCCATCCGACGGCCAACAGGAGCCTGGACGAGTGAGGGGAGCAGGGCAGTGCAGCGACTATTCATGAATAGTGTGTGCATGTCTTGTCTGTGCGTGAATTATCTTGATAATTCTGTGTTGCAAATTATGGGCACCTCGCACGTGCGCGCATCATTACACTCGCTCGGAGTCTCTCGAAACTCACCCCTTCTACAGTCACACAATATGGTTGGCTTGCTGATCCGGTCGAATCAGCGGGCCAGGGGCTACCGCGAACTTGCTATGCAGTGGTCCGTAGTTCCTGGCCCTAACAGCCTTGCTGCGCGGGTGACTCTTGTGGGGCCGAAGCCCCAGCTTTAGGGGGCGTCATGTCTCTGCGCGTGCAACAAACATCATGGATATATCCCGTGCGAAATGATCGTGCGACTCTCATGCAGCAGTCGTAATCCCACTAGCTTGGTTTCTACCTGTATGGGAGCGCTCGAAACATCGTAATCCCACTAGTTTGGTTTCTACTTGTATGCTCGTAATCTGCTCTGGGGGCAAAACACCGTGCAGTGGCATGGGATTCGCTCCCGTTCCCTGGTCTCGCTGACAATTACTACTGCAACATCTGCAGACTCGCCCGGCCGACCGGCCGGATAGCTCGAATTTGGGCGCGGCGGCCTGGCCGACCGGCTGGGGAATTCGGCGTTTGTCTCCCCGGCGGCCCGGCCGACGGGCCGGAGACTTCGGTTTTTCTCTCCCCGGCGGCCCAGCCGACCGGCCGGAAAATTCGGCTTTTGTCTCCCCGGCGGCCCGGATTCGGGGTACAAAATTATGGGTACATCGCACGTGCACGCATCATTGTGCTCGCTCGGAATCTCTCGAAACTCACCCCTTCTACAGTCACACAGTATGGTTGGCTTGCTGATCCGGTCGAATCAGCGGGCCAGGGGCTACCGCGAACTTGCTATGCAGTGGTCCGTAGTCCCTGGCCCTAACAGCCTTGCTGCGCGGGTAACTCTTGTGGGGCCGAAGCCCCAGCTCTAGGAGACGTCATGTCTCTGCACGTACAACAAACATCATGGCTACATTCCGTACGAAACGATCGTACGACTCTCATGCAGCAATCTCTGGCTCACGAGGGCCCTGGATTTTGGCTCAAATCGGGCACCCGGGATTTAGGCTCCAATCGGGCACCTGGGATTTTGGCTCGAATCGAGCACCTGGGAGCGCTCAAAATAAAACCCCGCCCTAAGCCTCCTTAGGGCGGGGTTTCGGAGGATGGAGTTAGAGGCCAAGGCCCCGCGGGTGGAGGGCCACCCTGTTCTGTATGGCTGGCGGCCGCCCTGTTCTGTATGGCTGGCTTGCTGATCCAGTCGAATCAGCGGGTCAGGGGCTACCGCGAACTTGCTATGCAGCGGTCCGTAGTCCCTGGCCCTAACAGCCGTGCTTCTGGCAAACTGACCTGCCTAGGGTATTGGGGACACGGTACACAGTGACCCCACTGCATGCGTGATGACGCGTTTCGTGCAAAAGCAAGCCGGATTAAGCCTTTGTCGCCCCGACCCCCACTCCCTGGTCCTCGTGGTCGGGGTGCTCATCGGAACCCAGCTGGGATCCTTAAAGGCTGCCCCGTGCGTCCCCGACCACACCGAGAACCAAGGAGGCTGGGGGGTCATCGGCACGGGGGGGAGGAGGAGGAGGAGGAGGAGGAGGAGGAGGAGGAGGAGGAGGAGGAGGAGGGAGGAGGAGGAGGAGGAGGAGGAGGAGGAGGAGGAGGAGGAGGAGGGAGGCAGGAGCAGGAGCAGGAGAGGAGGAGGAGGAGGAGGATGGAGGAGGAGGAGGAGGAGGAAGAGGAGGAGGAGGGGAGGAGGAGGAGGAGGAGGAGGAGGAGGAGGAGGAGGAGGAGGAGGAGGAGGGAGGAGGGCCCTGCGCCCTGCCGGTCGGGGGGCGCAGGAGCCGGACACGTCGCCGCGGACGTGCCTCGGGAGCGAGGGGTCCGACCCCCCGCAGGCCGCCCTGTGCTGCGCGCCCTCGCCACGGGGGCCGCCGTTGAGCGTCGCCGTCGCCGTCGCCGTCGCCGTCGTCGTCGTCGCCGCCGTCGCCGCCGCCGCCGTCGTCGTTGTCGTCGTCGTCGTCGTCGTCGTCGTCGTCGTCGTCGTCGTCGTCATCGTCATCGTTATCATCATCGCTATCATCATCATCATCATCATCATCATCATCACCATCACCATCATAATCAGCATCATCATCATTATCATCCGCAGCATCATCATTTTCTTTCCAATCACCATCATCATCACCATCATCATCTTCATCATCATCATCACCATCATCACCATCATCATCAGCATCATCATCTCCATCATCATGATCAGAGTGAGGGGGCCGAACGGTCATTTATTGTCCCTGGGTGCGTGGCTCTAGTGGGGATCCGTAGTGAGGATTCTGCTTGTTGCGTTGTTGTTGTTGTTTGTTGTCGTCGTCCCCCCTGCGACCCTCCCCGCGACCCACCCGCGACCCACCCCGCAAACCACCCACCCCGCGAACCACCCCGTGACCCACCCCGCGACCCAGCCCGCGATCCACCCGCGACCCACCCGCGACCCAGCCCGTGACCCGCCCGCGACCCACCCGCGACCCACCCTGCGACCACCCTGCGACCCACTCCGCGACTCAACCCGCGACCCACCCCGCGACTCAACCCGCGACCCACCCGCGACCCACCGCGACCTACCGCGACCCCACCGAGACCCATCGCGACAACCCGCGACCCACCTGCGACCCACCCTGCGACCCACCCGCGACCTGGCCCGCGACCCACCCGCGACCCACCCGCGACCCACTCCGCAATCCACCCACAATGCTTTAACGAAAAAATCGGCGCCTGCGGCGGGCTCAATGCATAATTTGTAAAAGTTAGGCGCTTGCGACGGGCTTCTCCAGAGCCTCGCAGACTGAAGACGTCCTCGCAGCCCCCTCACTCTTATCCGCAACTGCGGGGTGTTACGTTATTACTACCACCAACACCATCACCAGCGTGATGATCATCACAGTCGTCAGCGTCGTCAGCGTCAACGTCGTCGTCGTCGTCGTCGTCGTCGTTTTCGTCGTCGTCAGCGTCGCCGTCATCGTCGTCAGCGTCTTCGTCGTCGTCGTCGTCGTCGTCAGCGTCGTCAGCGTCGTCGCCGCCGCCGCCGTCGTTGTCGTCGTCGTCGTCGTCGTCGTCGTCGTCGTCGTCGTCGTCAATGTCCGTGTTCTCCTGCTTTTCTCCTTCCACTCCCCTTGTGCCGCTGTTGCAGGTCCTCACCCTCGCCCTTGCCGTCTTTCCCTGCCCCTCCCGTTGCAGTCTCCGCCTCCGCCGTCGTCCTGCTCCTGCTCGTCCTGCCGCCGCTGTTGCTGCTGCTCCTGCCCTCTCCTCGCCTCTCCTCTCGCTTCCCTCTGCCTCCCAGAGCCGCCAGAGGACTGCAGCCGCCTGCTGCTGGCACTTCCTGCGCGGCTTCGGCCCCTTTTGCCTCGCTGCTCCGGTGCCCCTGCGTGGCCCCGCGGCGTCGTCTCCTCATCGCTCGGCGCCTCCGTCTGCGGGCTTTCCCCGGCCCTCGCGCCGCCTCGTCGTTCGGGCCCTTCGTCGGTGCCCTTGTCGTCGCCTCTTGAGCAGCGCCTGAGAGCCCTTTGTCGTCCCCGCATCGTCCCCTTCGTCGCCCTTGTCGTCCTCTTTACCGCCTCATCGTCCCTCTTATCGGATCGTCCCCTTATCGTCCCCTTCATCGCTCTTCGCCTGAGAGCTGGCGTTTGACTCCAGCCCACGCCCACATAAAAACCCGCGTCTTCCTTCTGCCCCTCCCTCCAGTCCTCTTGCTGCTTCTCGTGCGGGCTTGCTTGCGTCCGATAGGAAAGCTTGTCCATCCATCGCATTCGTTGATCGGCTGGGCATGTGAGCCAGTCTGCACTTGGGCCCCGATCGCGTGCTCGAGGGGGTCAGTATCGTGGCAGGCAGCCCGAAGCGTTGCGATGCTGACTTCAGTTTGTTTCAGATTCCGCACTGGCTTCAGTCAGCCCAGGAAGTGAAGGCCTGGAGATTGGCACCAACTCCAATACAGGGGGACCTATCCCCGATTTTGGTGTTGGCGGTAGTCGCCCGGCTACCTAAATTGTCCGAATATTACTTCCATCCCCGAGATCGGGATCATCTTCCCTCGGTGAAGGCGACGTCCGATATTCGTGTTGGTGCCAGCCTCTGAGCCTCCTCAGGAGCAAAACTGTGCTTGAAGGGGCGGAGAAGAGGTCAGGGGCAACGCCAGGTGTGGATCGGCTCAGGGGAGATGCACCGGCCCCCAATCCGCCCATTGATCCCCGACGGGGGCCTGCTACCCCACCCCGCCGAGGCCCGTCTGGCTTCGCTATCGGGGTCCTCTCGCCGATCTATCGGCGATGCATCGCCGATCCCGGGTCGATGGTTCCCCCCCCCCCCTGAGCCGCTCCCGCCCCCTGCGGTCCCCCCTCCAGAGGCGGGCGGGCACGTGCTCTGCGGGGGCCGCGGGCGGCTCCGAAGGGGGCGGAGAGGGCCCTTCGTGCGGCCTGGTCTGGCCGCGCGGGCGGCGGGTGGGATCCTCGCGGCCGGGCGGGCGAGTCGAGGAGGCTGGCGGGGAGTGGGAGGAGCAAGAGGGCTCGATCATGATGCTCAGCGGCGAGTCCAGGGGAGGAGCGAGAGGGGGCAGGTCTGCTCAGGAGGCGGCGGGGCTGCTCAGAAGCCCTCGCACCTTCCGAGAAGCCGTCTGTGTCTTCGGGTAAGGCTCAGAAAGCTTCTCAGAGGGCTGGAGTCCGTCTGAGCCTTCTGAGAAGCTCCGCCCCCTCCGCCTTCCCCGCTGGGCTCGCCGCCAAGATACGTTTGAAGAGTTTCAATGTTTTTAGGTGTTTCCAGATTTCCTAATGTTCCACATGGGTTGCAGGAGCGAGGGCCGCTAGATGGCCCAGATTCCTGGAACGTATCCTGAGCCAATCGCATCTCGGTACGATCGAAGAGGAGACGGACAGAGTGGGGACGAAAACCGACTGTGGCTCCTGTCAATTGTGAGCAGGATTCGCTGTTGGCTTCGCCATGGAATACGTAGCACCCCGCATATGCGGATAAGAGTGAGGGGGCGGTGGGGACGTCGGCAGTTTGCGAGACTCTGGAGAAGCTCGCCGCAGGCGCCAAACTTTTCACACATTATACCACGAGCCCGCCGTAGGCGCCGATTTCTTTCGCTAAACTAATGTGGGTAGGTCGCAGGTGGGTCGCGGGTGCGTCGCAGGTGGGTCGCTGTTGGGTCGCGGGTGGGTCGTGGGTGGGTCGCGGGCAGAAAATCCACCCCGTAATAATCACCCCGACACGCGAAGCCGTTTAGTAAACGCACAAGGAAATAATCTAACAGGGCAGGGCTGTTAGTCAACGCCCAAGGCCGTTCAGTAAACGTCAATTGTCGGGTTCGGGGGGGTTTTCCTTCCTTGAAAGTGGGTCGCGGGGTGGGTCGCGGGGTGGCTCGCGTGTGGGTAGCGGATGGGTCGCGGATGGGTCGCGGGGTGGGTCGCGGGGTGGGTCGCGGGTGGGTCGCGGGGTGGGTCGCGGGTGGGTCGCGGGTGGGTCGCGGGTGGGTCGCGGGTGGGTCGCGGGTTGGGTCGCGGGTGGGTCGCGGGGTGGGTCGCAGGGTGGGTCGCGGGGTGGGTCGCGGGGTGGATCGCGAGGTGGGTCGCGGGTGGGTCGCGGGCGGGGCGACGACAACAAACGACAACAACAACAACAGCAACAACAACGCAACAAGCAGAATTCTCAACACGAATCCTTCATTCAGCCAAGCACCCAGGAACAATGTTGGGCATCGTGCTCATGTTTTCCGTACCCATCTCGGCCGTGCCAACGGGAGGAAGGAGGCCCCATTTGGGCGTCCAGACGGCGTCTGGCGCATATTTCCATTTCCATGAGGGCCCCACTTGAGCGTTTAGAGGCTTCCCGGAGCGTCTGTTCACGTGGCGGAGAGGCCCAGGGGATCAGGACAGTGGGGGAGGCTTTGGTGTGGAGAAGAGTGGTAGGAGAGGGAGAGGGAGAGGAGGAGTGGTAGGGTGAGGGAGAGGAGAGTGGAGGAGAGAGTGGAGGAGAGTGATAGGGAGGAGAGTGGTAGGGAGAGAGGCCTCTGGTGTGGAGGAGAGTGTATATGGAGCGGGAGAGGAGCACGAGGCATGTTTGAGCCATGGCGGGAGGGCGGCAAGGTAGGGGTGGGACGCGAGGCGGTCGATGGGTACAAGAGGAGCGGGAGGAGGTATAGGATCTCCTTGAGTTTGTTATCATGTAGACATGTTACTCCAGATTTCGTAATAAAAGGGAGGGCGTCTGGACCCTCCAAGACAAGCCATTTCAGACCTCCCCCGTGGGAGAACCCTCCAAAACATCGTCCCCAGACCCCCCAGGCCCTCCAAGATAGCCTGGAACGAAATGAGACCCCCCTCCCTTTATTACGAAATCTGGAGTACACTCCCCTTCTTCGTCTTCTTCCTCACTCTGCGTGCTGTCTGTCTGCCATTCTTCCTACAGTCATCTCGTAGCCACAGCTGGTGGCAATTGCCACCTGGCTGTCTAGTTTGATCACCCCCCCAGGGCTGACCGGCCTTCCGGGCGGGGGGGCAGTCGACGACTTGCACGCCACCAGGTTCCAGGTTCCAGGTGGAGGCTGAGAAGAAAAATAATGATATGATGCTGATGCTGACGATGCTGTTGCTGCTGATGATGATAATGACGGTGATGATGATGCTGATGATGATGATGACGATGATGATGCTGCTGCTGATGATGCTGATGTTGCTGCTGTTGATGATGATGCTGCTAATGGTCTTGATGATGATGATGATGATGATGATGATGATGATGATGATGATGGTGATGATGATGATGATGATGATGATGATGATGATGATACTGATGATGATACTGATGATAATGCTGATGATGATGTGATGATGCTGCTGATGCTGATGCCGATGCCGATGCTGATGCTGCTGATGCTGATGCTGCTGCTGATGTTGACGATGGAGATGGGCATGCTGTTGTTGTTGCTGGTGATGGTGATGGTGAGGGTGATGGTGATGATGCTGCTGCTGATAATGATGCTGATGCTGATGATGGTGCTGATGCTGAGGATGATGATGCTGCTGCTGATGATGATGATGCTGATTATGATGAGGATGCTGATGCTGCTGCTTGATAATGATGATGCTGCTGCTTATGATGATGATGCTGATGCTGATGCTGATGCTGATGATGATGATGATGATGATGATGATGATGATGATGATGATGATGATGCTGATGCTGATGCTGATGCTGATGCTGATGATGAGGAGGAGGAGAGGAGGAGGAGGAGGAAGAGGAGGATGGTGGTGGGTGATGGTGGTGATGGTGGTGATGGTGATGATGGTGATGATGATGATGATGATGATGATGATGATGATGATGATGATGATGATGATGATGATGATGATGATGATGATGATGATGATCATGATCATGACCATGACCATGACCATGATGATGAGGAGGAGGAGGAGGAGGAGAAGTGCAATCGAGCAGGAGGATGTCGAGGAGGAAGAGGAGGGCCAGGAGGAGTTGGAGTTGGAGTTCCAGGGCGATATTTATCACAGTTTCTACAGACTGCTGATTGGCAACATGTTCATATTTCCTCGGAGTCCTAACCTTAGGACATGCGACGGACGAGACGGACTGGATGGAGGGGGGAAGCGGAGGATGAGGGGAGAAGGATCATGTGGGGAAGAGACGAACACAGTTTGGATATGGCGTGTATTTTTTGTTTTTGTTAATGGGGGCGGGGGGGGGGTGAAGGGGGTGGTGGTGGGAGGGTGATGCATGTCGACCGCGGGGATTGGCAGAGGAAGCGGAGACAGACGTACCGCGTCGCAGGTGGTCTCCATCGCCTTCCGCATCTGGCTCGTCCGCAATGTGAGCCCGTTTCTCTCTCTGCTCGAGTGCGGCTTCCTTCGCAACTTCGGTCTTGCTTGGACGAGGAGGATTCGGAGGATGAGGAGGAGGATGGGGAGGAGGGGGATGGGGAGGAGGATGATGAGGAGGAGGAGGATGGGGAGGGGAGGCTTGCTTCATAAATCCAGTCTTGCTTGCTTGGAAGAGGAGGATGGGGAGGAAGAGATGGACCCGGAGGGGGATGGACCAGGAGGAGGATGAGGAGGAGGATTGCACGATGATAATGTTGCTGCTGAGGAGGAGGAGGAGGAGGAGGAGGAGGAGGAGGAGGAGGAGGAGGAACACATGAATCCCCGGAAGCATCAACGATGCTTCAATACACCCTCCCGTCCCAAGTCCCCTTCATCATAAGTCCCTATACAAGCCTTTTCACCACAAGGGGCGCGCCCCCTTTGAACAGTGAGACCCCTGTGGGCCCGCCGTTCAGGCGAGAGTCCCGTTCTGGAAAGGCACCGCCTTGCATCCTCCAAGCGAGTTGCAAGGGGTGCGAGAAGCTATGATTCTGAACCGTGAAATTTACCGGTGCCTCCAGCGGGGGCCCGCTCTGGAGAACAAGCGCCCCCCCCATCCGTGCAACGAGTGCGCAGGTTTGCATGTCTGATGGCAGACTCTGAGGAAGCCTACAAAGGGAGAGCCACAGTTCGAGAAGGAGCCGCCCTCCATCTGTGCAGCTGTTACATGTGTTGGTCGAAACCTCAAGCGGGAGCCGCATTTTTCAAAGAAGCCGCCCTCCGTCCTCGTCGTTGCTGCGATCGTGTAAGACGACTGTACGCGGCGCTGAGGCGAGAGCCCCGTTTGACAAAGGAGCCGCCCTCCATTCTTGGAGCTACCGCAAGCTTTTAGGACGAATGTGCGCGGCGCTAAGGCGAGAGCCAAATTTTGAGAGCCACCCTTTTCCGTTCTTGTAGCTGCTGTAAGTTCCCTCCTCGATCTTTGTAGCGATTGCAAATATCAAGTTTTGTCATTATGATTGGTGCGGAAGGATCAGGCGAAACGCCCGATTCGCCCTACCGACACGTCTGGGAATGCGACAGGCAGGGCCATTTTTTTTTGACCATAGGAGTAAAAATACGTCAACGATGCTGAAGTACACCTTCTTGTCCCAAGGCCACTCTTCCCCTCGCAAGCACAGCAATGATTGCTGGAAAGGGCGTGAGCCCAGGTTTTCTTTTAGGTGTAACGCTGTCCCTGGTGCCTCGGCCTGGGTCAAAAAGGGCGGAGCGTTTTGCGCAGAATTCTTATGATGGGTGCCGCGCTGGAATTTCAACGAGCAACGACAATTGCGAGAACGTTCCCAATCCTCCTCTGGTTGAGTTTTCGTCTTGAATGAAACACTGTTCGCGCGTCTCCTCCTCATCCCACCTCCCTCCTCCTCCCGCCTCCCTCCTCCTGCCGTGTGCCTCTCCTCTCCTCTCCTCTCTACCCCTCTCCTACTCCTCCCCCAGCCCAGGGAGAAAAGGTCACCCTTTGCGACTGCCTGCATACGGTAGTATGATCTGCTGCACGGTGCGTGAAGCCCGTCACCTCGAATCGTGCGAAACGGTTACGGTCGTGTGAGGTTTAGCTTTTAGCCGAGCTGCAGCTCGGCAAACAGCAGGTCATACCCGCGAGCGGAAGTAAGGCCGCGCCTTTTTTTCGTTCTTCTTCTTCTTCTTCTTCCCCTTCTCCTCCTCTTCCTCCTCCTCCTCCTCCTCGCTTCCGTGTTCCCCCTCCTGCTCGCGCTGCCTGGGGGTTTGCGAACTGTGTAATTCTCGCCTGTTTCTTGGGCTCGGGGGTGGTCAGCGGAGTGACGTCTTACAAAGATCACACTGAAACCTCGCTGTCTCCTGGGGGCTGCGAAGTGCCAAACCGTCGCCACTTTCGTGCGCTCCTGGGGGGTCCAGCGGTATGGCATCTCACGCAGATCATAATGAGATCTCGCCGTCCTTGGGGGCTGCGAAGTTCGAAGCCGTCGCCACTTTCGTGTGCTCCTGGGGGGTCCAGCAGAGTGACGTCTTGCGCAGATCAGAATGGGACCTCGCCGGCCCTGGGGGCTGTGAACTGCGATACCGTCGCCATTTCCATTTGCTCCTTGGTGGTCCGGCGGATTGACGTTTTATGTGGACCAGCATGCGATCTCGCCGTCTCTCGCGGTTGCGAACTGCAAAGCTGTCTCCAGTGTCTTGTGCTGCTAGGGATGCAGCGGAGTGACGCCTTAAAGATCCGAGCGAGAGCTCGCCATTCCCGGGGGCTGCGAACTGCGAAGCCGTCGCCATTTTGGTGGGCTCCTGGGAGTGCAAGCGGACGGGTGCCGCATGCAGATTGGCATGGGACCTCGCCGTCCCTTCTGCGGTTGCAAAGCTTGAAACTATTGCCGTTTTCGAGGGAACCTGGGAGGTCCAGCGGAGTTGCGTCCAACACAGACCATTTGAGATCTCGTCGTCCCTGGGGGGAGAGGGGGTGGGGCTACGAACTGCGAACCCGTCGCCACTTTCGTGTGCTCCTGGGGGGTCCAGCGGAGTGACGTTTACGGAATTCAGAATGGTACCCCGCCGTCCCCTGGGGGTTGCGAAGTCTGCAAATGTGGCCGCTTCGAGTGCTCCTGGGGGGTCCATGAGAATGCCGTCCTATGCAGAACAGGGTGCGACCTCGCCGTCATTGGGGGCTGCGAACTGCGAAACCGTCGCCACTTTCGTGGGCTTCTGAAGTGGGTCAGCGGAGCGACGTCTTACGCAGGTCGGGAAGAGACCTCGCCGTCCACCAGGAGCTGCGAACTGCGAAGCCACCGCCACTTACGAGTACTCCGGTGGGGTTCAGCGGAGTGACGTCTCGCGCATACCTCAAGGAACCCTCGCAGTCTGTGCGGGCTGCGAAGTTTGAAGCTGTCGCCACTTTCGTGTGCTCCTGGGGGGGTCCAGCGGAGTGACGTCTTACGCTTAGCAACATGTGACGTCGCTGCACCTGGGGGCCACGATCTACGCAACTTTCGCCACTTTCATGTGCTCCTGGGGGTCCAGCAGAGTGACGTCTTACAGTGGAGACCCATGCCAAGAGCCACCTTGCTTGGCCTTCGATGGTTTTGCTGTGGAAAACGTGGCGTTCCTACACCAACAATCAATGAACGTCCTGGGGTCTGAGGGTTGGGTTTCTTTGGACGGTTTCCTGTGGTCGGGCCCCCATTGTGCGCCGATCAGAGTGAGACCTCGCCGTCCCCTGGTGGCTGCGAACTGCGAGCCCGTCGTCACTTTCATGGGCTCCCGGGGGTCCAGCGGGGTGACGTCTTACGCAGATCAGACTGAGACTTCGCCGTCTGTGGGGGCTGCGAATTGCGAAGCCGTCGCCACTTTCGTGGTGCTCCTGGGGGGCCAGCGGGGTGGCGTCTCACGCGGATCTGAGCGAGACCTCGCCGTCCGACTGGGGCCGCGAGCTTCGGATCTGTCGCCGCTTTCGTGGGCTCCTGGGGGGTCCAGCGGACGGGTGTCGTATGCAGATCTGGGTGAGGCCTCGCCGTCCCTGCGGCCCGCGAGGTGCGAAGCCGTCGACTTTTTCGTGCGCTCCCGGTGGGGGGTCCAGCGGAGTGACGTCTTGCGCAGATCGGAGTGGAACCTCGCCGTCCCTGTGGTGGGCTGCGAGCTGCGAGGCCGTCGCTTCTTTCGCGTGCTCCTGGGGGGTCCAGCGGGGTGAAATCTTACGCAGAGCAGTGGGCTGTGAAATCCGACACTGTTGCCACTTTCGTGGGCTCTTGGGGGGTCTGGCGGATGGGTGTCGTTCGCAGATCAGAGTGGGACCTCGCAGTCCCTGTGGTGGGCTGCGAACTGCGAAACCGTCGCCACTCGTGGGCTCCGGGGGGGGGTCCAGCGGAGGGATGTCGTATGCAGATCAGAATGGAGACTCGCCGTCCCTGGGGGCTGCAAAGTGTGGAACTGGTGCCGCTTTCGTGGGCTCCTGGGAGGCACAGCGGAGGGGTGTCATACGCAGGTCAGATGAGACCTCGCCGTCCCCTGGGGGCTGCGACGGGCGCGACCGTCGCAGCTTGTGTGGGCTCCTCGGGTGTGCAGCGGACGGCTGTCATGAGCACGTCAGGAGGAGGCCTCGCCGTTCTCGTGGGCTGCGGAGTGCGAAACGGTCGCAGCGTGCTTGGGCGCATGGGTTGCACAGCGGAGGGGTGTCATGCGCAGATGAGAGTGAGACCTCGCCGTCCCCGGGGGCTGCGAGGGAGACGTTGCCATTTCCGCGGGCTCCCAGCGAGATGAGACGTCACGCTGCGCATGTCGCTGACGTCTTCCCAGGTCACCCCCCCTCAACTACCCCTTGCCCGCCGTGCATTTGGACGTTTACAGCCCTCAGCGCAGCGCGGTGTTTTGTCATAGCGCGTATGGCGCCGTTCTGTAAGGAGCACGTAGCGCGCGGCGCTGCTACTCTGACTCTCCATTTCCCTAGTTCTCCCTCCTTAGTATGTTTCTGTTCCCGTCGTTTTTTGTTCCGTTGTCTGCTCCCTGTCGCCTTCTTGCTTATGATCCGAGTCGCGGAAGTGTTTCCGTATGTTTGTGGCATGGTGTTCTTTGGCGAAGTGTTCAAGGCTATTGCAGGTCCTTCAACGTGTTGTTTACATGGAACGGTCCTGGGTGTGGTCACCTCATGTGCACAAAAAGTTGGGTACGTTTTCAGGTAAGTTGAACACGTTGATTTTGCGTATGCTCGCTCGAGGATGGCGCGCCCCGCGCTCAGAATCCTTCGCATATGACGGGAGTCGGAGACCCCAGAAGGCCCAGGAAGTCCTTGGGTTGACTGGATGCCCTGGGGGCGGGAATCTTGATTATTTTGTGAGGGGTCGTGGCAAAAGGAGTGTGGACGCAGAATAATTTACAGAGGATCGTGGCCCTGGGAGCACGGACGCAGCCTCATTTTTGAGGGATCGTGGCCCTGAGAGCGCGGCCGCAGCGTAATGGCTCCTGGCCCTTGGAGCGCGGACGCAGCGCAATTTACAAAAAGACCCTGGCCTTGGGAGCGCGGGCGCAGGGAAATTCACAATGTATTGTGGGGCTGGGGGCGCGGATTCAGCGCAATTTGCGAGTCATCGTGGCGCTGGAAGTTCGAACCAACGGTAGTTTACCAGCGATCGTGACCCTTGGAGCGCAGACCTTTGGCGTGACCGCGGCGTGACCCTGGCACGTTCCGTGGCGTATCCCATGGCGCGTCCATTGGCACGTTCCTTGGTGTGTCCCTGGCTCTTCCATTACCTCGTTCCCTTCTGGCGCGTCCTGTGGCACGTGTCCTGGCTCGTCCTCTGGCGTTTCCTCTGCCCGTTCCTTGGCGCGTCCCTTGGCGCGTCCCTTGCTACGTGCCACGTCCCTTGGTGCGTCCCCTGGCGCGTCCCTTGGAACGTGGCATGACGTCCCTTGGCACGCCAGCTGGCACGCTCCTTGGCACGTTCCGTGGCGCGTCCCCTGGCGCGTCCCTTGCCACATCTCCTGGCGCGTCTCCTGGCACGTCCCATGGCGCGTCCCCTTGTGCGCCCCTGGCATATCCCACCTGCGCCCTGCGCCCCCTTTCGATTCGCCCCGTTATGGAATTGAGTCGGATCTTTAGCCCGAGCTGGGGGAGTGTCCCTCACGATTCGACTACGACCAGCTTTGGGTGAGCCATGGGCTCAGGCAGCTCGAGCTCAAGGTCCAGATCAGTTCGGTCAGTACACGGATGCCAAGGACGGTAGGACCCACAACGCAATGGAATCCAGCACGGTTTATGAAACAATACGCTTCAGAACATCACTGCACAGCATGGCACTTCACAGCGCAGCGCAGTACACCCACGGGCACGGTATCATCACCATGGATATCCTTCGGGAGTTTTGAGACGGGGGTTAATGCAAACGGGGGTTAGCCAGAGCGCCCGATCTTGCAGGATCCTGCAGGGCCAGGGTCGCATTGACCCAGGTTTGGGTGCAGGATACTGCTGGATTCTGCAGGATCCTTCGCATTGAGCCGGGTTTTGGTGCAGGATCTTGCAGGATTTTGCAAGGCCGGACTGACGTGGGTCTGGATTGACCCGGGTCAGAAGATTCCCGAATCCTCAGCATTGTTTCTGCCCATTGCCCGAAAAATGTTGTATGCTTTTCCGAAATCGTGGATCGATCATGTCTCCTTCCCCCTTCTCTTTACCCACCTCTCTCATACCCTGCCGCGACAGATTTTCCAAGGAGTTCTCTGTTCGGTCACTTGTTGAAATCCTTTTAGCGATCCCCACTGCAGCCGTGCCATCACCCATCAGCGTCTCCTGTTCTACTGCCCGCCCTCCAGGTAGATCTGGTCAACGCCACCTTCGAGTGTAAGTTTCGGGTGCGCGGGGATGGGGGGAGAGAGACCTAGGGAAGACGAGGTTTATGACGACGGAGAGGATGAGGAGCCAGCGGAGGAGGAATTTCAAGGAAGAAACAGGAGGGGTGGAGAGCCAGGGGTGAGGGAGAGGAGTATGATGCGACGAAGTGCAGCTGGGCGCTCGGGGAAATGGGTGGTACGCTGTCCTCGCTCGCTCCCCACGCCTCCCGGTTTTCTCCCCCCGCCTCTCCTCCCCATCCCTCCCTTCCCGGCTGTCTCGCTCTCCCTTCCTGCGCCCTCTCTCCTCCCTCCGCATCTGGAGGCCGCCGCCTCGGATGATCCTGCAGATCTGCTCTTCTTCCCCCCGCCGCCCTCGCTTGCGAGAGACGGCAGGGGGCCGACTGCACGTGCATGCGCGCGCGTGGGCCTTCCGCGTGCGGGCGTGCGTCGGCGCCCCCCCCTCCTGTAGGACTCGACTGTGTGCCGCACTCCCGGGCACCCGGCGCTCTCCTGCTTCCCAGACGGGGCACCGGCCGACTTCGACCGACCCCGTGGCCCCGAGGAGGCCGACCTCGACCGTTCCCGCGACGCCGACAGCTACAACGACGACGACGTCGACGACGCAGCCCTGCGGCGCTCAGTTTGGACCGTGCCAGGTTCGCAGCTTCGAGGAGCGATCTGCGGCCCTGTCTTCGAACAAAAACAAGGGCACCGCCCAGGGTGTCTTTCCAGTGGGTGCAGCAGGTCCGCGTCGTGTCGACCGGCGGCGACCCCGCCGCTGGCATTCAACATTGCACGCCGCTGGTGACCCAGAAGCGGGCGATGTTCAACGATCGGACGTTGCGGAAACGGCCGATCGTTCAAGGCTGAACGATCCCCGCGGTGCCAGGAACCAACGCCAGGGTCGACACGACACGAACCCGCGGTAAGCCTGTCCCCAGCCCCTCCACCGAAGGGGGCTGGCGGATGAGAACGTGGCAAAGTTCCATCTTTTCACTAGAAGAAGTACGTGGCGCGCGTGCCCGCTCGAGAAACGTGCGCCCCCCACATCGGATCCTCGGAAAGAGCGTGTTCTACCGCTGCTGGCGGAAAACCGGGGGGGGTCACTACCGGTTCGAACCCCTCCCCCCCCCCCCCTCCGGAAAACCGGGGGGGGTCACTACCGGTTCGAATCCCTCCCCCCCCCCCCCAGCTCATCATGAAAAGGGGGGGGGGTCACTACCGGTTCGAACCCCCCCCCCCCCCTCGAAAACCGAGTGGGGGTGCGGACAGTGGTGGGGACGGTGGGGACGGTGTTGGTGGGGACAGTGGTGAGGGGACAGCGGGACAGTGGTGGGGGGACAGTGGGACAGTGGTGGGGACGGTAGTGGTGGGGACAGTGGTGGGGACAATGGTGGGAACAGGGGGGACAGTGGACAGTGGTGGGAACGGTGGTGGTGGGGACAGTGGTGTGGGGACAGTGGGAATGAGGTGGAAACACTGGGACAGTGGAGGGTACAATGGTGGTGGGGACACTGGTAAAGGCGGTGGCGAGGACGGCGGTGGGACAATGGGACAGAGGTACAGTGGGGACAGTGGTGGGGACAGTGGGGACAGTGGTGGAAACAGTGGGACAGCTCAGTGGGACAGCGGAGGAGTCAGTGGGACAGTGGGGACAGTGGGGATAGGCAGTGGTTGGGTCCGTGGAGACAGTGGGGAGAGTGGAACCGTGGTGGGAACAGTTGTGGGAACAGTGGGGACAGTGCGACAGTGGTGGGGGCACTGGTGGGGACAATAGGGACGGTGGTGGAACCAGTGGGGACAGTGGTGGTGAGGACAGTGGTGCTGGGAACAACAGTGGGGGATGTGATGCGAGCGGTGGTAGGGACCGGGAGTCGTTTGCTGGCGGTGCGTGGGGGGGGGGGGGGTCGAACCGGTAGTGACCCCCCTCCGGTTTTCGAGGGGGGGGGGGGGGGGTTCCAACCGGTAGTGACCCCCCCGGTTTTTTCCCCGAAGCCGGGGGGAGGGGGGGGGGAGGGGGGGGGGGGGGAGGGGTTAGGGGAGGGGGGGGGTTTTGCCGGGAGGAAGGGGGGGGGGGGAGGGGTTTCCAGGGGCTCCGGCAGGGGGGGGGGGGGGGGATTTTCGGAGGGGGGGGGGGAGACCCCCGTGTTCCGGAGGAAAAGGTTGGCAATTTTCCACAGTAAAGCGGCGGTGGATCACGCTCTCTCGATCCTCGATACCTATTTCGGTCTCCCAGGTGGGGTCCGAGTAGATGGGGTCGGGGGATGGCACCGCATCGTCGATGCGACGATGCGGCTCGTTTCCCCACGCCGACGGCGCCGATGCGTCGCCGACGTCGCTGATGCCGTGCGTCCCTCCGACCCCATGTGCTCGGCCAGGCTCCATCTAGGAGGCAGCGTAGGCAGAAAAATCGCGACCCTGGGAGCACGGGTGCAGCGTAATTCACCAGGGGTTCGTGGTCCTGAGAGCGCAGACGCATCGTAATTTACCAGGGATCGGGGCCCTGGGAGCGCTGACGCAGCGTAATTTAGAAGAGATGCTGGTCCTGGGAGCGCGAATCCAGTGTTTCGTGATGGATCATGGCCCTGGGAGCGTTGACTCACCGTAATTGTCGAGGGATCGTAGCGCTGGGAGTGCGGGCGCAGGGTAAGTTATAGGATCGTGGCTCTAAGCGCGGAACGCACGGAACGCAGGGTAATTTACGAGGGATCCTGGCCCCTGGGAGGGCGAATTCAGGGTACGTAATTCATGTTGGATTTTGGCCCTGGGAGCGCAGATCCCGTGTAAACCTGCGCTCCTCATACTGGAGCCTCCCTCCCCAAATAACGGAGTTCGCAGACCCCGTCTTTCCCTGCTAAAAAAAGAATGCGGAGCGTTGTGAGCAGAATCCTTGTGAGGGGTGCGCTGAAATTTGTAGGACATTTAGAAGAAGATGCGACAAACTGGTTCTATGGCTGACACCCACCGTCGACCCCTTGGGGGTCCCTGGCTCCTAGAGCGAGAGTCATGCTATGGCGTCTGTGGCAATCCGCGGGTTTCTTCTTGAAACCTCCTGGTGGGGCTAGACCTCGCCATCCTTGGAGGGTTGCGAACTGCGAAAATGTCGACTCTTTCGAGGTCTGCCAGGGTGTCCACCCGAGTGACGGCAGACGGGGACTCAGAGTGCACTTCGGCACCCTAGGGGCGATGCGAAGTGCAAAAATGTGACTGTCGCCACTTTCGACAGCTGCCATGGAGTCTAGCTAGGAGGAGGAGGAGGAGGAGGAGGAGGAGGAGGAGGAGGAGGAGGAGGAGGAAAAGAGGAGGAGGAGGAGGAGGAAAAGAGGAGGAGGAGGAGGAGGAGGAGGAGGAGGAGGAGGAGGAGGAGGAGGAGGAGGAGGAGTGGCGAGTTTTTTCGCCACTCCCGCGCGTGGCGAGGTGAACGTCCGGCGCGCTCACGGCATAGCCATTGGGGGAAATCTCGGAACCTCTTTGGAGACCTCTTGAGGGGTACTCCAGATTTCATAATAAAGGGAGGGGGGTCTCATTTCGGGGGGGGTCTCTTCCAGGCTTGGAGGGCCTGGGGGGGTCTGGGGACGATGTTTTGGAGGGTTCTCCCACGGGGGGGGGTCTAAAACTTCTCGTCTGGGAGGGTTGAGACCCCCTCCCTTTTATTACGATATCTGGAGTATTCTTGAGAGCATCTTGGGTGGGAGCCTCTTGAAGCCTCTTCGGGGCGTCTGTGGCCGTCGTCCGGCGCCCTGAAGCCGCTTGGCAACTGCGGAGGCCGCTCTGGGAGCGGCTCTGAGGCCGTCCTGGGCGCCTCCTGGGACACCTGGGGGCTTTCTCGTTCGAGTCTTCCTTGAGAGCTTCCTTGGTCGTCTGGGGGCTCTCTTCGGGGCCTCTCGCGGGGCCTCTTGGGGGCTTCTTTGCTGGCCCGTCTCGAACGCCGTGAAGGCGAAGTAGGCGAATATGGTCAGATATCAGTTCTCCTGAGGAATGTGGCGATTTTCGCTTGCAGGGGCCCTGCTTCAGGCGGCGTCCTGCAGGCTTCGTGGACGGTCTTGATGCGATATTGGGCCTCCCTGGGCCTTGTTGAGGCGTCGGAGGCCGTCCAGGAGCGTTCCCAGAGCAGCCGAGGCCGCCGGGCCTTCTGCCAGGGCCCCCCCGGGCCCCCCGGGGTAGGGCTTTGGGGAGAGGCAGGGGTCTCACACGCCGAGTAGACACCAAGGGGTCGGCGTGGCCGCTCGAGGATGGAATGTCATAGTGATGATGGTGATGGTGATGGTGATAGTGATTGTGATGTTGATTGCGATGGTGCTGGCGATAATGACGATCATGATCATGAGCATGGTCATGGTCATGGCCACGATAATGATGATGCTGCTGATGATGATGATGAGGATGAGGAGGATGAAGATGAGGATGAGGATGAGGAGGATGAAGATGAGGATGAGGATGAGGATGAGGATGAGGATGAGGATGAGGATGAGGATGAGGATGATGATGATGATGATGATGATGATGATGATGCTGATGATGATGATGATGATGATGATGATGATGGTGATGCTGATCCTGATGCTGCTGCTGATGATGTTGATGATGATGATGATCATGATGATAATGAGGACGAGGACGAGGATGAGGACGAGGATGAGGATGAGGATGCTGATGCTGATGCTGATGCTGCAGAGGCTGCTGCAGCTGATGATGATGAGGAGGAGGATGAGGATAACGAGGATGAGGATGAGGAGGATGAGGAGGATGACTGAGATGAGGAGGCTGACGAGGATGGGGATGGGGATGGGGATGGGGATGATCATCAGGATGAGGATGCTGATGATGCTGCTGATGATGATGCTGCTGCTGCTGATGATGATGATGATGATCAGGATGAGGATGAGGATGATGATGATGATGATGATGATGATGATGAGGATGAGGATGAGGATGATGCTGAAGATGCTGATGCTGATGAGGATGATGATGATGATGATGCTGATGGTGATGGTGGTTATGATGCTGATGCGGACGATGTTGCTGGTGCTGCTGATGATGATGCTGCTGCTTCTGACGATAAGGATTGATTATTCTGATGGTGATGGTGATGCTGATTGTGATGCTGATGGCGATGGTGATGATGATATTGTTGTTGTTGTCGTTGTTGCTGTTGTTGTCGTTGTGGTTGTTCTTGTTGTTGCTGTTGCTGCTGCAGTTGTTATTGTGGTTGTGGTCATTGTTGTTGTTGCGCTTGTTGCTGTTGCTGTTGATGTTGATGTTGTTGCTGTTGTTGCTGTTGTTTTTGTAGTTGTAGTTGTAGTTGTAGTTGTAGTTGTAGTTGTTGTTGTTGTTGTTGAACATTATTAATTCTAAAGAATAATTATTGTTGGGACCCCTGGTGCACGGCCCCCCTGCGCCGCCTAGGCCGCAGCTACATTTTCATCATTTTCGTGAGGAAGCCTCAGGTAATTCGATGTGATCAAGATCCGGTTGTTTTGTTCCCCCCCGCTTTCCCTTGCAAAAAACACTATAAAATGACATTTCTTGTTCTAATATAATCAAATTTCAAGAATCCCTTGCAAAAAATAAGGTAAAGTGGACATTCGCGCGCGCAAGACGAAATCCTTCCAAAAGCTTAGTGTTCGGAACGATTTTAACATAAAAACATCAAAAAACCAATGGTTTTTCAACAAAAAAATGTCAAAATCTCATCCCGCGCGCTCTTGCGGATTCGTAGGAAAACCAACACTTTTTAAACATTTCTGTCAAACGGGCTTTTGCGAGCAACTTTTTCGAACTTCTGCGACAACGGTTGCGCACCTGCCAGGGCCATCATCCCTGTCAAATAATACCATGCGGGACACATTCGTTTTTTCTTCGCGCGCGCACGCCGTCGTCGTCGGCCGCGGGGCCCTGAATAGTAGCCACGGTCGTCCGCATGCCACGAAGTGAAGTGTCCGAACGTCATAGGGCGGGAAGCTGGGTGTGGGTGGTGGCGAAGAGTCGTGTGGATATTTGGTAGAGCTTGCACTGCCCCCCCACAAAGTGGGGGTATTGGCTGGCGTCGCATGAAAACCCTGGCACTGGTGAGAACACTGAGCGTTCGGGTAAAGTGATTGTTGTTGTTGTTGTTGTATTTTATTGTTGTTTTTGGTTGGGCGCCGTGCGTGAGCGCCGTGCGTGGGAGTGGCTTGGCAAGTCGGCTACTGGTCGGAGCAGCCGAGGCCGCCGGGCCTTCTGCCAGGGCCCCCCCTCCAAACCAGCTGGACCGGGCCCCCCCCGGGGTAGTGCTATGGGGAGAGGCAGGGGTCTCACACGCCGAATAAATCCAAAGTGGTCGGCGTGGCCGCTCGAAGATGGATTGTCATAGTGATGATGGTGATGGTGATAGTGATTGTGATGATGATTGTGATGGTGCTGGCGATGATGACGATCATCATCATGAACATGAGCATGGTCATGACCATGATGATGATGATGCTGATGCTGATGATGATGATGATGATGATGATGATGAGGATGAAGATGAGGATGAGGATGAGGAGGAGGATGAGGATGTTGATGCTGATGCTGGTGCTGATGCTGATGATGCTGGTAATAATGATGACTTCGATGAGGATGAGTATGATGAGCACGAGGATGAGGATGAGGAGTATGAGGAGGATGAGGATGAGGGGGATGAGGTGGATGACTGAGATGAGGAGTATGAGGAGGATGATGAGGAGGATACAGAGGATGATAATGAGGATGTTGATGATCAGGATAAGGAGGATGATAATGATGGGGATGAGGGTTAGGATGAGGATCAAGATGATGTTGGTGATGATGATGATGATGATGATGATGACGATGCTGATGATGATGATGATGATGATGATGATGATGATGATGATGGTGATGGTGGTGGTGGTGATGATAGTGGTGGTGATGCTGATGCGGACGATGTTGCTGTTGCTGCTGATGCTGATGCTGATGATGATGCTGGTGATGATCTGCTGCTTCTGATGATGATGGTGATGGTGATTGTGATGATGAGGTTGTTGTTGTTGTTGTTGCTGTTGTTGTCGTTGTCGTTGGCGTTGTTGTTGTTGTGATTGTTGTTGTTGTGATTGTTGTTGCTGTTGCTGTTGCTGTTGTTGTTGTTGTTGCAGTGGATGTTGCTGTTGCTGTTGTTATTGTGGCTGTGGTTGTGGTGGTGGTTGTTGTTGTTGCTGCTGCTGCTGTTGCTGTTGTTGTTGTGGTTGTGGTTGTTGTTGTGGCCGTGGTTGTGGCTGTGGTTGCGATTGTTGTTGCTGCTGTGGTTGTTGTTGTTGTTGTTGCTGTTGCTGTTGCTGCTGTTCTTGTGGCTGTGGTTGTGGTGGTGGTTGTTGCTATTGTTGTTGTTGTTGCTGCTGCTGTTGTTGTTGTTGTGGTTGTGGTTGTGGTTGTTGTTGTGGCTGTGGTTGTGGTTGTTGTTGAGTTGTTGTTTCTGTTGTTGTTGCTGCTGCTGTTGTTGTCGTTTATGTGTTAGTTGACGGTGATGATGATGACGATGATGATGATGATGATGCTGATGCTGCTGCTGATGATGATGATGGTGATGATGATGGTGATGGTGATGCTGGTGATGATGATGATGCTGATGCTGATGCTGATGCTGATGATGCTGCTGCTGATGATGATGATGATGATGGTGATGATGGGCAGACTGGACGGGGGCCGCGGATGAGATGCCAGAGTGGGCTGATGCATCCAATGGCGCGCGCCGTGCGAGGGTGCCTGGGTGGGAGGTGTTCCTCGAGTGGCTTGACAAGTCGGCCATTGGTCTGCCCAAGGGGAAGAAGGCCCGCTCGGGCCTTGCCGCCGCGCGCAGCCTCCGCGCAACTGGCAACGCCTGCTGCCACCCTGCTTTGAGAAATTCACTCGCGTGGTAAGCGTGCAGAGCGATCGCATTCACTCTGGTAGATCTGACGTCCGTGCGTAGGCTTGATCGTCGGGAGCGTTTTTTTCTCGGACCCACCGAGCGGGAGTCACGGCGGCCATCCCCCCCCAGGGCGAAACTGGTACGCAAAAAATCCACGTGAGAGGTTGTTCGAGGGCATGTTGTCGACACGCGTATGCTGGAACATGACCAGGAGTTCGCTACTACACGTCAGGATGCGGGATACTCAAGCTGTCTGCCGCAAGCCCCGCCACCGAACCCCAGCCCAGCACACTGGGTGGCGGCTAGTCGAGGAGCGCACCGGACATCGTAACGCGTGACACCTCGTGTCCCGAGGTTTGAGGAGCCGTAACATGTGACGTGCTCGTCCGCGTCGTGTCGGGGTGTATCTCCTAGTCTTCCTCGCCGTCTTCTGCCTTTCTGTTTCTTCCCCTCCTCTCTCTTGGGGCCCTCTCGGGGGCCTCTCAGAAGCCCCCTGGGGTCTCTGCTTCTCTTCGGGGCTCCATGGACCCTGAATCTTTACCAAAATCTTTGCCCATGGCCGCAAAACTTCACCCAGGCCTTCTATCTTCACCTAAATCTTCAACCTGCGCCCTAAATCTTCATTTACATTTTCGCCCAGGGCCATAAATCTTCACCCATGCTTTAAATCTTAATTAAAATAATCACAGGCCCTTAAATCTTTCCCGTGGGCATTCAATACTAGTTTAAATCTTCACCCAGGCCTGCAAATCTTCACCCAGGGCTCTAAATCTTCACCCAGAGCCCGAAATCTTCCTTTGAATCTTCACCGAGGGCTCTAAATCTTCACCTAAATCTTCACGCAGGGCCGCAAATCTTTATTTAAATCTTCACCCAAGACTCTGACTCTTCACTTAATCTTCACCCAGGGCCGTACATCTCCACCCAGGCTCTAAATCTTCGCTTACATCTTCATCCCAGGGGTGACCCTAAACGTTGTTTAGTTGTTTTTTCCTGACGTAAATCTTCATGTAAATCTTCACGAAGATCGTCACCCCAGAGGCCCGCCAGCCTAAATCTTCATTCAAATCTTCTCGAAAATCTTCGCCCCGGAGCCCCGCCAGCTTAAATCTTCATTTCAATCTTCACGACAATCTTCACCCCGCAGCCCCTCCAGCCTAACTCTTCATGTAAATCTTCACGTGCATCTTCACCCCAGAGGCACGCCAGCCAAAATCTTCATTTAAATATTCGCGTGCATCTTCACCCTGGAGCCCCGCCAGCCCAGATCTTCATTTAAATCTCTCCTGAATTCTTCACCCAGAGCCCCATCGTCACCCCCAGCAAGACCCCCCCCCAGCACGACCCCCCGAACAACCCCCCCAGCGTCCCCCCTCCATAAAAGATGCCACCCTAAAAATGCGTTTTAAAATATTTATTTGGGGTGCCCACTTAGAATGGCATTTATGGCTTCACGTGGATTGGCGCAGATCTCATCATGGAACACATTGTTTTATTTAGTGCCGCGTCATCGCGCTTTGTCTTGTTTTTCAAATCCTAGTTTTGTGGCTCGCCCCGGCGCGGCGCTCCAATTTCTACGCGACAGCCCACAATGGTTTTATATATATGTATATAAAAGTCATTTTTTCCCATGTTTTCTGCAATAGTAACAATAGTAATGATAACGCGAATCATGCTATCACTAACTGTATTCATAAATCACGAATAGTAAGTTTGACATGGGAATCAAGAGTATTACGGATACTAGTACGGAGACTACTAATTACATGGCTACTAACAAGTTAATGCGAATACTACGAATGATGCTAAGACGAGTGCTACGAATACAAATACAACAACTACTACTAATATTATTAATCATATATTATCTTATAAACATAAGAGCACTAATATGAAACACATTCATATTACAAAAATCATGAGAATAAACATAAGTATTCTTACAGTAAAACGGAGAATAATACTGCTAAGAAGAAGACGCACAGTCATATTATTAACACGGATATTACTGAGATCAATGATACGTGTAATAATAATGAGACGAAACATACTAAGAGGAGGAGGAGGAGGAGGAGGATGAGGAGGAGGAGGTGCAGGAGGACGAGGAGCAGGAAGAGAAGGAGGAAGAGGAGGAGGAGACGAGGAGGAGGAGGAGGAATAAGGATGGAGGAGGGAGGAGGAGCGGCGGGAGGAGGATGGGTTCGGGAGGAGCAAGGGCAGGGAGCAGGATGAGGTTGAGGAGGAATGGGAGTGGGTGTGCGGTACCAGAGGCAAAGCTCCCCGTCCCGGAGATCGCCATCACGAACGCTGTTATGTCCCAAGTGCTGGACAGGCGCGGCCCGCGGCCAGACGGGACGCTCGGTGGCGATTGAGACCGTGTGCCAATCCTAAGCTTGTTGTGGGGAGGAGGGGGAAGGGGGAGGGGGAGGAGGGGGAGGAGGAGGGGGAGGAGGAGGAGGAGGATGAGGGGGAGGAGGAGGAGGAGGAGGAAAGGGAGGAGGAGGAGGAGTAGGAGGAGGAGGAGGAGGAGCAGGAGGAGGAAGAGGAGGATGAGGAGGAAGAGGAGGATAGTTTTGGGCCACAGTGGAGGATAAATTTGAATAGTTGCACGTCGATGATGGGCGCACGGCGTGGTGCAGGAAGGTATGGAGGTTCGCACGCCGCGTTGCCACGTCAAGCCACGACAGGTGGGCAGTCAACGCGGCATCATGGCAACCCACGCTTTCAGATACCGCTGGGGTCGTCTGGCCCACCGCCCAATACATGTACGTAAGCACTGACGATCTAATTACGTATAAACAGAGGCAGGGCTCTGGCGCGACGTCCACTAATCTGTCTGAATTTTCAGCTGACTATTTCCCAACCATCCTGTGGTGTTGGGTCCTCGTTTTGAAGAGACGGTGCCCGCGTCCTCTCCTCTCCTCCTCTCCTCCTCTCCTCCTCCTTGGGTCCTCGTTTTGAAGAGACGGTGCCCGCGTCCTCTCCTCTCCTCCTCTCCTCCTCTCCTCCTCCTCCCCCTGCCTCCTCCCTCCTCCTCCCTCCCTCCGGTTTCCTGGCACCCAGGGCACAGCGGTTCGGGCCCCATAGGGAGCTCCAGAAGGCCCAGTGGGGGTGTCCACATTGCGGAAGAGCACACCCAGGGGCAGCGTTTCGGGCCCCTATAGGGAGCCCCACCGAAGGCCCCAGGGGGGTGCGCGCATGCGGCTTCCACCACCCAGGGCAGCGTTTGTTGGCCCCCATAGGGAGCTCCACCGAATGCCCCAGTGGGGGGTGTCCACATGCGGTTCCCCCACCCGGGCAAGAGTATTCGTGGCCCCATAGGGAGCTCCAGGGAATGGGCCCCGGGGGTGGGTCCACATGCACGTTTCCCCCACCCAGGGCAGCGTTTCGTGGCCCCATAGGGAGCTCCACCGAAGGCCCCAGTGGGTGTGTCCACATGCGGTTCCCCCACCCAGGGCAGCGTTTCGTGGCCCCATAGGGAGCTCCACCGAAGGCCCCAGTGGGGGTGTCCACATGCGGTTCCCCCACCCAGGGCAGCGTTTCGTGGCCCCATAGGGAGCTCCACCGAAGGCCCCAGTGGGGGGGTCCACATGCGGTTCCCCCACCCAGGGCAGCGTTTCGTGGCCCCATAGGGAGCTCCACCGAAGGCCCCAGTGGGGGTGTCCACATGCGGTTCCCCCAACCAGGGCAGCGTTTCGTGGCCCCATAGGGAGCTCCACCGAAGGCCCCAGTGGGGGTGTCCACATGCGGTTCCCCCACCCAGGGCAGCGTTTCGTGGCCCCATAGGGAGCTCCACCGAAGGCCCCAGTGGGGGTGTTCGCATGCGGTTCCCCCACCCAGGGCAGCGTTTCGTGGCCCCATAGGGAGCTCCACCGAAGGCCCCAGTGGGGGTGTTCGCATGCGGTTCCCCACCCAGGGCAGCGTTTCGTGGCCCCATAGGGAGCTCCACCGAAGGCCCCAGTGGGGGTGTTCGCATGCGGTTCCCCCACCCAGGGCAGCGTTTCGTAGCCCCATAGGGAGCTCCACCGAAGGCCCCAGTGGGGGTGTCCACATGCGGTTCCACCACCCAGGGCAGCGTTTCGTAGCCCCATAGGGAGCTCCACCGAAGGCCCCAGTGGGGGTGTCCACATGCGGTTCCCCCACCCAGGGCAGCGTTTCGTGGCCACATAGGGAGCTCCACCGAAGGCCCCAGTGGGGGTGTCCACATGCGGTTCCCCCACCCAGGGCAGCGTTTCGTGGCCCCATAGGGAACTCCACCGAAGGCCCCAGTGGGGGTGTCCACATGCGGTTTCCCCACCCAGGGCAGCGTTTCGTAGCCCCAGAGGGAGCTCCACCGAAGGCCCCAGTGGGGGTGTCCACATGCGGTTCCCCCACCAGGGCAGCGTTTCGTAGCCCCATAGAGAGCTCCACCGAAGGCCACAGTGGGGGTGTCCACATGCGGTTCCCCCACCCAGGGCAGCGCTTCGCAGCCCCATAGGGAGCTCCACCGATGGCCCCAGTGGGGGTGTCCACATGCGGTTCCCCCACCCAGGGCAGCGTTTCGTGGCCCCATAGGGAGCTCCACCGAAGGCCCCAGTGGGGGTGTCCACATGCGGTTCCCCCACCCAGGGCAGCGTTTCGTGGCCCCATAGGGAGCTCCACCGAAGGCCCCAGTGGGGGTGTACACATGCGGTTCCCACACCCAGGGCAGCGTTTCGTGGCCCCATAGGGAGCTCCACCGAAGGTCCCAGTGAGGGGGGGCGCATGCGGCTCCCACACCCAGGGCAGCGTTTCGTGGCCCCAGAGGGAGCTCCACCGAAGGTCCCAGTGAGGGGGGGGGCGCATGCGGTTCCCCCACCTCAGGGCACGGGCAGGGCGCGTTTCGTGGGGCTGGCCCCATGGTAGATCCACCGAAGGCCCCAGTGGGGCGTGTCCACATGCGGTTCCCCCCACCCAGGTACAGGTTTCGTGGCCCCATAGGGAGCTCCACCGAAGGCCCCAGTGGGGGTGTTCGCATGCTGTTCCCCCACCCAGGGCAGCGTTTCGTAGCCCCATAGGGAGCTCCACCGAAGGCCCCAGTGGGGGTGTTCGCATGCGGTTCACCCACCCAGGGCAGCGTTTCGTAGCCCCATAGGGAGCTCCACCGAAGGCCCCAGTGGGGGTGTTCGCATGCGGTTCCCCCACCCAGGGCAGCGTTTCGTAGCCCCATAGGGAGCTCCACCGAAGGCCCCAGTGGGGGTGTTCGCATGCGGGTCCCCCACCCAGGGCAGCGTTTCGTGGCCCCATAGGGAGCTCCACCGAAGGCCCCAGTGGGGGTGTTCGCATGCGGTTCCCCCACCCAGGGCAGCGTTTCATAGCCCCATAGGGAGCTCCACCGAAGGCCCCAGTGGGGGTGTTCGCATGCGGTTCCCCCACCCAGGGCAGCGTTTCGTGGCCCCATAGGGAGCTCCACCGAAGGCCCCAGTGGGGGGGTTCGCATGCGGTTCCCCCACCCAGGGCAGCGTTTCGTAGCCCCATAGGGAGCTCCACCGAAGGCCCGCCCCGGTGGCGCAGTCCGCATGCGGTTCCCCCATCCAAGGCAGCGATTCGTGGCCCCATATGGAGCCCCACCGAAAGCGGCACCCACAACGCGTTACCAACAATTGCTTATGGTTGGGTCTTTCGCCAGGATAATTTTTCTGGATAGGAATGGGTACTGAGTTTGTGATAAAGTGATCTCCTTTGACACGTTTATCATCTGAGCGCTGCGGCGCTATCCGCCCACTCTGGCTACGGGCGCGTTTCGGCGCGATGCGGGCGTCTGTCTGTCTGTCTGTCAGGAATCAGGAATCAGAAGGAAGAAGAGGATGATGATGATGATGATGATGATGATGATGATGATGATGATGATGATGATGATGCTGATGCTGATGCTGATGCTGATGCTGATGCTGATGCTGATGCTGATGCTGATGCTGATGCTGCTGCTGCTGCTGCTGCTGATGCTGATGCTGATGCTGATGCTGATGCTGATGCTGATGCTGATGCTGATGCTGCTGATGATGATGATGATGAAGATGAGGAGGAGGAGGAGAAGGAGGGAGGAGGAGGAAGAGGAGGACGAGGAGGAGGAAGAGGAGGAGGAAGAGGAGGATTAGTGGGGAACCCGAATATCAAGACGGGCTCACCGCCTGGCACCAGCGCGCCCGCGCTCTTACTGCAGTGCGCGCGGGCGATGCACCGCCGCGCGTCCGCCAGGAGCTCCGCGCCAGAGGTGGTGAACCCAGAGTCGGGGCACCTGGCGGCGCAGGCCCGGCGGGGGGGGAGAAAGGTTCAGATCACAAGCGGTCGGGTGAGATTACAACCGGACGGGTCAGATCACAACCGTCCAGGACACGTGGGATGGGTGAGATCACAACCACTTTGGAGCCTCTGAGAGGTTCTGAGACGTTCCGAGAGCCTCTGAGTGATTCTGAGAGCTTCTGAAAGGTTCTGAGAGCCTCTGAGAGGTTCTGGGAGCCCTTGAGAGGTTCTGAGAGCCTCTGAGAGGTTCTGAGATCCTCTGAGGTTCTGAGAGCTTCTGAGAGTTTCTGAGAGCCTCTGAGAGGTTCTGAGAGCCTCTGAGAGGTTCTGAGAGCCTCTGAGAGGTTTTGAGAGCCTCTGAGAGGATCTGAGAGCCTCTGAGAGGTTCTGAGAGCCTCTCAGAGTTTCTGAGAGCCTCTGAGAGGTTCTGAGAGCTTCTGAGAGCTTCTGAGAGCATCTGAGAGCCACTGCGAGCTTCTGCGAGTTTCTGGCAGCCTCTGAGAGCCTCTGAAAGCCTCTGGGAGGTTTCCAGATTTGTGCCAATTGAGAGCTTCTGAGAGCTTCTGAGAGCTTCTGAGAGGTTCTAGGAGGCTCTGAGATCTTCAGAGAGGTTCTGGGAGCCTCTGGGAGGTTCGGAGAGGTTCTGACGGCCTCTGGGAGTTTCTGAGAGCCTCTGAGAGGATCTGAGAGCTTCTGAGAGCCTCTCAGAGATTCTGAGAGCCTCTGGGAGTCTCTGAGAGGTTCTGAGAGCCTTTGGTAGCCTCTGAGAGGTTCTGGGAGCCCTTGAAAAGTTTCTGAAAGCTTCTGAGAGGTTCTGAGAGCCTCTGAGGTTCTGAGAGCCTCTGAGACGTTCTGATAGCCTCTGAGAGGTTTTGAGAGCCCCTGAGAGTTTCTGAGAGCGTCTGAGAGCTTCTGCGAGCTTCTGACAGGATCTGAGAGCCTCTGAGAGGTTCTGAGAGCTTCCGAAAAGTTCTGAGAGCCCCCGAGAGGTTCTGAGACCCTCTGAGAGGTTCTGAGAGCCTCTGGGGGTTCTGAGAGCTTCTGAGAGGTGCTGAGGGCCTCTTGGAGGTTCTAAGAGGAGCCTCTGGGATTACTACTACTACTACTACTACTACTACTGCTACTACTACTATTACTACTACTACTACTACGACTACTACTACTACTACTACTACCACTACTACTATTATTACTACTACTACTATTACTACTACTACTACTACTACGACTACTACGACTACTACTACTACTACTACCATACTGCTACTGTTTATCATACACTAACTACTATTACTACTACTCCACTACTACTAATACTACTATATACTACTCAACTACTACACTACTACTACGTAACGTTATCTATATCGACTACTACTACTACTACTACTACTACTACTACTATCTACTACTACTACTACCGACTACTACTACTACTACCTACTACTACTACTACTACTACTACTACTACTACTACTACTACTGCTGCTACTACTACTACTACTACTACTACTACTACTACTACTACTACTACTACTACTACTACTACTACTACTCCTACTCCTACTCCTATCCTTATTCCTTATTCGAATATACTCCTACTCCCCCCTCAGGCCGGCAGATAGCGGGCGCATCCGGGTGGTCCCATCCTAACCTGTAGAAAACAATACAAAATCAACATTTTTCTTATTTTTTCCTCTCGACATGGACGTCCTGTCGTCCACGGCGATAATCCATTGAAAAAAATACCACAAAGAGCACACGCGCGCGTTCATGTCAGAATCCTACCGAACACCGTGTGTTTGCAAGCATTTCAACATAAAAACATCAAAAACCCAATGTTTTTTTCACAAAAATTATACAATTTTCCTGCCCGGCTCTCTTGCTGAAATCATAGGAAAACCATAGGAATCTTAAGAATTCGGTCAAATCCAGCGATTTCACGTCATCGCGCGGTGCACTCGCGATGCTTTGTCATGCACCCAGGCCGCGAATCCTGTGCAAAAAATACAACAAAGAGCACACTCGCGCGTTCATGTCAGAATCCTACCGAAAACCGTGTGTTTGCAAGCATTTCAACATAAAAACATCAAAAACCCAATGCTTTTTCACAAAAATGCTTTGGGGTGTCCTGTCAGACCGTCGGGCTTCCTCCGGCCACCTCTGGCTTCATGCGGTGTACCGGGCCATTCTCGACTCGTCTGGCAATGCGTGCGCGGCATTCAACACGCGCTCGCCAGTTCCCGTCGGCAACCGCCATCGCGGCCGCATCAGCTGTACCAAACCGGCTGGCCGGTGTGACTTCGGCC